AACCACAACCAAGGTATGTGCCCTTGGCCAGAATCAAACCCGAGACTCTTTGGTCCACAGGCCAATGTTCTAACCACTGGGCAAAACAGGCCAGGGCTAATCAATTACTCTTTACGTTAAATGTGAGTGGTAGCACAGAGTAACAAGCTGTGCTGGGAAGAGAGAGAGTTCTGAGTCTAGAATCTAGAATCTCAGACTCAATTCTTCTGCGACATAGTTCTGAGACTTTGATCAAGTCACTTATTCTTTCTAGAACTGGTTTTCTTATTAGAAGATGAAGGATTTAGACTGGATCAGTGGCGCTCTGGGGTTCCCAGAAGATCTCAGGAATACCATATTAAGTGAAGAGAGGCTATGCTAAATCAGCTTTCATCTCTTTCATAGACTGAGAATCGGCCACTGCTTGTGGAAGAAGAGTTTGATTGCTTCAAATGCTGCAAAACATTGGATTCATTCATCTGTAAGGTCTTACATATGATTCAAAGACTTGAGTCAGACTATTTCCTTAGTTGCAATGAAAAAATGATAATATGGCCCTGGCCGGTTTGGCTCAGCGGTTAGAGCGTCGGCCTGCGGTCCAGAGAGACCCGGGTTCGGTTCCCACTAAGGGCACGTACCTCGGTAGCAGTTTGTCCCCGGCCCTGGTCGGTTGTGCGGGTGGCAGCCACTCGATGTGTTCCTTTCACATCGATGTTTCTCTCTCTCTCTCTGTTCCTCTCTCTCCCTCCCACTCTACCTGAACAAAAAATGGAAAAATGTCCTCGGGTGAGGATAAAAAAATAAATAAACTATTTTTTTAAAAAATGATAATATGGAAGAATTTGGGCTAAATTAAATACCTATAATATGATACTTAAAATATCTATAATATATTTGGTCAAAAGCAACTAACTTCTCTTTAATATTTTTCTTAAGTCAAATCCTAAACATGAACTCCCAACCCAGTCTCCTAAAAAAAAGTTTTGGATCCACATGCTGCTATAATTCTCTCAAGAATTACTGTCCAATTCCAAGAACATAATTAATATTTGCATTTTTAATTAATTAATTTAATTATATCATCATTAACATTAATGACCAGTTGATAACTTCTGGTGAAAGATAGCCAATGAGAAGTAAAAGAAACCTAATTTTTTAGATTGGGGGCACATCCCACCAATAAAACAAATTACAGTATCTCGTAATGATAAATATTACACTTGGGAGATTAATAATCTCCTTGTTAGGAGATTATTTTATTTTCCAATTCTTCATTGGGCTTCTGAGTTATTCTGGACACATATCATACATTTCTCCATCCATATTATTAGTATCTTATTTTCACTTTAAATTTAAATTCATTGTTTTGGAATATTTCTCAAAATTAAACTGCAACATTGTCATTAAAATAAAGACTAATCATCGATTATTACTGTATCTCAACTTCTTACTATGCTACAGGACACAAGCACATGAGTCCTGCACAACATTTGATTTCTGTGCCCCAGTTTTCTGTACCCTGATAATTAGCAGAAAAATGGTGTAAAGATTTATTTATTCACAGTTGTTCTTTACAAATAACTTCAAATTTTATAGTTAGTTATAATTGCACTTCCAGTTATAAATTTTTATTCAGCAGGATTCAGGGAGTTGTTATACAAGGTGCCATGAGGTTACGTGTGCTGTGCCATGTTGTAGAGAATACAATAAATTATATTGCCTATAGCAATATACATATAATTGCCATATAATTATACATATAATTAAAATGAGGTGTTCTCACAGCTTATAGTTTTACAACTTTAAAACTTGGCATAAAACTTATACAGATTTATAAACAGCCAGAAAGATACGTGTTTTCATTAAATTTAGACAGATACTAACAACTGAGGAATTTTTATGAAATATTGATATGTACTGAATTGTGTCCTCTGCCCCCAAAATTCATGTTGAAGCCCTAACCCCAGCACTTTAGAATGGGACTGTATTTGAACATAGGGTCTTTAAAGAGGTAATAAAGATTAAATGAAGTCACAAGGGTGAGGCCCTATCCAATATGACGAATGTCCTTATAAGAAGAGAAAACATCCCTGGCTGGTGTTGTTCAGTGGTTAGAGTGTTGGCCCGCAGACCAAAGACACCCAGGTTCGGTTCCTGCTAAGGGCACGTACCTCCGTTGCAGTTTGTTCCTGGGCCCGGTTAGGTCGTGTGGGTGGTGGCCAGTCAGTGTGTCTCTCTCACATGGATGTTTCTCTCTCTCTTCCTCCCTCTCTTCCTCCCACTCCATCTGAAGATAAATGCAAAAATGTCCTTGGGTGAGGATAAAAAAATAAAAGAAAAGAAAAAGAAAGAAAACAACCCCTGGATGGGCGAGCACAGAGAAAGGATTATGTGAGGGAACAGTGAGAAGGCAGCCATTTGAAACCTGGGAAGAGAGGTCCCACCAGAAACTGAATTTTCCAGCATGTTAATCTTAGACTTTAGCTTCCAGACTGTGAGAAAATTAATTTCTGTTGTTTAAGCTGCCCAGATTATAGACTTTGTTATGACAGACCAAGCAGAGTAAAACAGCAGCAAACTAATACAGATATGTATTTTACAGTTATAAATATGCATGTACAATTATATGCATAGACACACAGACTGGCTGTGTGCAGTTAAATTATCTAGAGTCCTATTTGAAAACAGTGGAAGACTTTTATTATGTCTTTGCATATTAAAATTTTTGTTAGATTAAAAGTGAGTATGCATAATTTATACTGAGGCAGCCAGACTACATCTGAATATTAATTAGGAAAAACAGAATTGTTTTTATGAAGTGGTGTCAATGTATGGGTACCCTAAAAGAAAAAAAGGTTTTGGACATATTCACAAATTGATTATTTCAGCTTTCAGAGAGAATGTACCAGACTGGGATTAATCCACTTATAATTGATCACCAAAGAAGATTCATCTTGGACCCCTCTGTTTCAAATTAAGCTTTTTACATGTACATGTTATATTCCTGTCACTTGTCAAGTTACCTTAAAAAGCTTTCTGTGAGTTTAATTAAGCCTAACTAATTCTCCAACAGTACAAAGAAAGTTGAATTCCTTAAATATTTAATTCATTTATGAATCAAAGTGCCATTTTCTGAAGGTGCCTGTTAAATTCTTGAAATCAATTGCCCTTTAAATTCAAGCTGCTTTTTCAGACATTCAAACGTATAGCCACACCTCACATAATGCATGAACTCAACGTCTCGTCTTTTCATCAAGAGAACTTATTTCAAATGCTGTGTTCAAAAATCTCAACCTAGAAAGACAAGTATTGCGATCTCAATTATTTGTGGAATCTAATGAACAAAATAAACTGATGAACAAAAGAGATCCAGAGCCATGGAAGTAGGGGTCAGACCGACAAACCTCAGAGGGAAGGAGGGTGAGGGAGGGGGGTGAGGGAGGGGGGTGGGTAGAGGAAAACCAAAAACTTATATGCGTTTAGGCATAAGCAATGGACACAGACAATAATGTGGGGAAGGCAGGGGTGGGGTGGGAGTGGGGAGGAGGGGCTCAGTGGGGGGAAAGGGAGGGAAACAACTGCAATACTTTCAACAATAAAGATAAATTTTTTAAAAAAGGAAAAATTTTCAACCTGGCAGGGCTTATTTCTCACAACGGAACCCCAGAGCCTTTGATGATAAGCTTCATGACCCTCAGGCACGCCTTCATCCTGATCTCCAATCCTGGTTTTTGCTCTGCTTCCCCCTTTGTCCAAGTATTAATGAGTTAAAGGTTGGCTGACCTCTGTCTGCCTAGTCAATGTGCTTTTTCATTGCAACTTTGTTCTCCTTAACTCATCCCAAGCCTTGTCTCCTTCAGAAAGCTTTTCCCCATTGTGGTCAGAAGGCAGCTCCATCATCCATCCGCCCACTCTTGGTATCATCCTGAAACACTAAATGCACCCATGACTGTATTTTAATTGCACACCTACTATTTGTCCTTTCCCTGTGTTTTGAAGGTTATCGAAGATTAGAAGCACTGTTCTTCAAGACTAGATTCCCAAAATGCAAGGTCAATCAGGCAACCCCATTTATGAAGTACCTGCCCCCCAAACCAGACACTGGATTCCCGTATAAGAAAACTGGAAGATTGGATACATGAGGGGACAGAAAATCACACATACACAACATTCACAACCACAAAGACATAAGCACAGGGGTGCAGATCCTGAGAGTCCTGCGATTGGTCAGTGTTCATGATTCATTTCACATCTCCCAACACCATGCTAGATGCTGACATTATGGGAGTTGCTGACTGACTCAACTTCTAAAGGAAAAGCCTGTCTTTTGGTTGAAATTCAAATTCCCTAAGCGATCTTAAGACTATAAATTAGCTGTTTAGCTTTTACATTTAAAGTCCCAGTTTAAAGAAAGTTTAGTCTTCAATACCGTTTTCTAGCATTAGCAATATAAAGAGTAACTAAAGAATATTTCTAGAATAACTCACTGAGTAGTCTTTCATTCTTTCCACCACCACCTTCCACACACCTTTGATTTAAAATATTAATTATTGCTCTGGCCAGTTTGGCTTAGCAGTTAGAGCATTAGCCTGAAGACCAAAGGGTCTCATGTTTCATTCCAATGATACCTGGGTTGCAGGTTCAATCTGATCATACAGGAGGCAACCAGTCAATGTGTCTCTCTCACGCTGATGTTCCTCTCTCTCTCTCTCTCTCTCTCTCTCACCCTCTTTCCCTTCCAAAAATTAATTGAAAAATATCCTCAGTGAGGATTAACAAAAAATAATTAATTACTTACATTTAAACTACACAACACAAAATGCCATGTTAGAATCTCCAGTTTCAGTCACTTTCTATTTTTTTAAATAAAATCTATTATAAAAATACTTGCAAAGAAAAATAAGAATAGAAGGAACTCACGAGCCGAGAAAGCACGAGCCCACCACAGAGACTGGGGTAGAAAGAGCCCGCCCGGAGGTAGACGGGACACCCACGGGGCGCGGCCGTGTCGAGGTACCTACCCCCTTTCATCATGCCCACTTCGTAGCACTTGCGCAGCCGGCAGGCCTGACAGCTCTTCCTCCTGTTTTTATCGATTGTGCACTGGTTGGTGGCCGGACACATGTAGTCATTATGTCCTATTAAACGAAGGAGGACAGAATTAATCATCTTCTCAGGAGACTGAGCCAGTCAGAATCTACAGTAAAGCAATCTGGAGGGTGTTTTCCTATCACCAGCTTGGCCTTACTATGTTGTTACTTCAGGCCACCAGCCTTTTTCTGACCGTTTATAAGTGTTAAAAAACAAATAAAAAATTTAAAAAACATTCTCCTAGACTTAATTTCTGCCTCAGTCAAGTGCTTTGGGACTTCTTTGGACAAATAATCTTCAGTTCACACAGCTTATATTTTGGGGCATGATGTTTCATGTACACTCACAAGGTTAGTTCTTTCAGCAGATAAACCTTTCTTTTTTTGACCAGGCCACTCAGTAAAATTGTTGTCAGAATAAAACTTAGAACCTTCAGAGAGTTTCAAAGTGGCCTTCTCAAACACAATGTAAAGAATCTTGAAGTAGGTATTCAAATGCAGCTTGAACACCTAAATGCGAGTCAGGGTGCTGAGCTGCACGTTGGCAAAGTTCAGTCCTTAAGTTAATAAGTTAGCCCATCACATCTCAGAGGACACTGAGCAAGTCATAACCATCCCCAGGTCTCCCTTTCGCCCTCTTTAACCTGGAGAAATGAATGGTACCCACTACATAACATTATTCTTAGAACTGAATGTGCGAATACATGTGAGGGGTCACCACAGTGTCCTGGTTGTGGTGAGCACTCAATAAATACTCCTATTGCTGTTACTATTTTACCTTATCATGAATTGTCTTTCTTTTCTCTCTTCTTCTCTGAATTTCTCTTGCTCAAATGCTTCTTTCTCATTGGCATTTACCGCATGCAAGTCTGTCCCACAGAAACGGTTCTCCTTCAACCTCACATCACTCTTGAACTTCCATCCTATCTCCTGTCCCTCATTGGCAACTCAAATCCTCAGAGATGTCTACACCCCAAGAATCCTGTTTCGTCCCCTCTCCTGCACTGCTCAACCCACCGTAATTGCCCTATAGAAGCAGTTTCTTGGATATCACCAGTGACTCTTATTGCTTAATCCAACAGATGTTCAGTCTACATTATAGTTGATCTATCAGAAGCATCAAATGATTCCTCCCTTCCTCCTGAAACATGCTTTTCCTTTAACTTCCATCACAAAAAACTCTCCCAGAGTTTCTCTCCTCTCAGATTATGGCTTCCCTGTATTGTTTGTAGATTCACCACCCAACGTTAAGTCAAATCTGCCCAAGGTTCAGTGTCAGGTCCTCTTCTCTTTTTGCTAATCTATGTTCTCCTGGGAAGAAATCTATTCCACACCTATGGTCTCCAATGTCATTAAATGCAGATGATTCCCAAGTGCATACTCCCAGTCCAACCCTCTTCTCTGAGCTCCAGGTGCATATATCCAATTGCCTACTTGAAGTTTCTGCTCCAAAATTTAGAAGGTCTTTACTCATCAAAAAATGTCTGATGTATAGCCTACAGAATATTGAACTTCATAAATTACTAAACACTGGTATGTTTTTACAAAGAAGTTCATCTATATAAGTCTAAATTCTTATGCCTCTTGGGGAACCGTTCTGAATTTAGACTCAGGAGATGATATATTACTATTTTTAAATGTGTTTCCCATTTTAAAAAATAAGGGGTTGGGGGGATCTTCCACTCTCTAATTCAGAGTCTCTACTTAAGTCTCTATTTTCCCATTTACAAAGGGCAAGATGCAACATATAGTGAAATGTTGTAACCACAGAACTCTTTGCTCTTTATTCGGTGTGAGGGTCCGTCCCAATTAGAATAGAGTGGAGTGGGGACTCTACAAGAGTTGTTGGTTCTCCATCTTTAGATATGCATTATAAAGGCCCTTGTATAAACAGGTGTCAGATCGAATTACCATCTGCATTCTTCAAGTGTATAGCAGAAACCAGCCAATTACTCAGCAGAGTTATAAACTTGTAACTCTGATAAGAGACCACACACTGCCTCAAATATCCAGACACAGTTATTATTTTTAGGATTATCCTTATTAATAGGGACAAATTGGAAAAATAATAGAGCCAGAAACAAATTTATCTGGGCAGAGGTCAACGCTAGGCAGAAAGTGTACTCTTCTGACACCTCAAAGAAATGTTTAGTATTTGGTCTCCTATGGTGTTATATGCAGTACATGTTGATTTATTTTAACTCTAAAAAAATGAATTTATTTTAAGCTTCAGAAAAAATATAGTCGATGATCATTTGAACCCAAAATTACTTTGATTCAGTCTCTCTCCCGAAAGCCAGTTGTTTCGCAAGCCACAAGATGGGAGAACTGAGCTGGGTCAGAGGCCAGCTGGCTACATGTTGTTTGGATTGGCCATCCCTTGTAGATGTGTATCTTTATGGAACCACATGAAATTCCTGAACTAACATGTTTAACACACAAAATTTTCTGGATTTGTGCAACTGAATTCATCCCGTAACAAGATGAACTACAGAATCATGTTCCCAATACGAACCTTTTGTGACAAAGCTACATTTTCTCCTGCCTGGAGCACATTATAAACTGGCAACAAGAAAAAATTACGAGGCACATATCTGACATATACAATTAAACAAATTTTTTCTTAACCAAACACCATTCACAGCTATTTGTAAGTCTTCAACTTTCATCAGGAGGAGGAAAACAACAAACATCTATGTTTCCTGATGAGTGTAACTTGGTAAAGGTATGTTATTAAAGCAACTGATTGAAGTGTCTTCAAGAAGAAACTTCTTTTTAAATGTTATTATTGAGTCTTGTAAAAACAATGCATGAGAAAAATCCTTCAACTGAAGTGGAGTTGTTTTTTTTAAAAAAACAACTCACAGCAATGGTGTTTATGAAGCACACAGTGTTTTGACTGCAGAGACTGAAGAACTCTGAGTGCCTATGACCAGGTTAGCCCAAAAGATTCTTTTGCACAGGCCTGGATGAAGCATAAAAGGTAGAAGCCAAGATGTGAGGTTCAGATGAGGTTTTGGAGAAATAATCACTATTTTCTTACCCACCAAAAAATAAATCTAGAAAGCCTTTGGGCCAATGTAGGGCTAGAATACTTGGAAATGGAAAGCAAAGTGAAATATATGCAGAAACTTGAAGAGTGAGGAGAGAAGGCGTCTGTGGGCAGAAATTAGCAGGTAACCCACAGCTACTGGGGCAACAGCTTTTCTCCAGGCTTCCCTGGAATTCTTTCTCTTGACATTTTGTTCTTCCTTTTCTGATTTGTCTTCTTTCGTTGCAGCTGTTTCTGCATTATGATCATCCCAGAGAAAGTCTACCTTTGTGAATTACAAAAATAAGCAACAAGTCATATCCCAGGGTTCAAAAGAAATGTGAAAAGAGCAAATTAAAACCAGCAGGCGAGAATGTGGAGATAGGGAATCCCTTGAGCACTGCTGGTGCGGGGTGGCGACGGATGCGGCCACTGTGGAAAACAGTGTGGAGGATCCGCAGGAAATTAAAACTAGAACTACTTTATGACTCAGCAATCCCACTCCTGGGTATTTCTCCAAAGGAAATGAAATCAGGATATTGAAGAGACATCTGCACCACCATGTTCGCTGTAGCATTACTCATATTAGCCACAGTATGAAAATAACCTAAGTACTCATCAGTGGATGGATGGACGGATGGATGGATGGATGGATGGATGGATGGATGGATGGATGGATGGAAGGAAGATGGAATATTACCCAGCCTTAAAAAAAGAAAGAAATCCTGCCATGTACAACATGGATGAACCTGGAGAGCATTATACTAAGTGAAATAAGTCAGACAGAGAAAGATAAACAACTGCATGATATCACTTCTATGTAGGATCTAAATACAAGTGGAACTCATAGAAACAGATAGAAAAGTGGCTACCAGGGGCTTGAAGGTGGGGTAGGGGGAAATGGGGAGAAGTTGGTTGAAGGGTATGCACTTGCACTTATAAGACGAGTAAAGTCTGAGGATCTAATGTATAACATGGCGACTATAGTCAGTAAGATTCTTATATGATTGAAATTTGCTAAGAGTAGAATTTAAACATTCTCATAAAAAAAAAAAGAGTAAATATGAGGTTATGGATGTGTTAACTAACTCAGCAAGGGGTCCTTTCACAATGTATATGTATATCAAATGATCACAATGTACACTTTAACTACTGTATAGTTTTATTTGTCAATTATAACTCAACAGAGCTGAAAAAAGAAAACAAAACAAGCAGCAGCGGAGAGGGATTTAATATCATGTCACCTTCCTTTTGTCACATTTTCTCAGTGCATTCTGGCAGCCCCCTCAGACCAAATCTCTCTACTGAGCTCCACACCTGTGCACCCACTAACCTAGTCCCTTTAGGCTCGACTGCATCAGACTCTTCACGATAGACGTGTTTCAAATGTAACTGACCACCTTCTTGCCTCAGCAACCTGTTCCTATTCACCACCCCACCATGAAACCCAAGATGTGAATATTATTCTAGACTTTAGTTTTTTTCTCACTCAAACCCCACAGCCACATGTACACACCAGTCAAATCAGTTATTTTAAAATACTTTTCCAAGGCAAAATCAATTTTGCCCTCTGTCCATCATCACTACCCTACTGCATACCATCGTCCACCCAGCTCATGGCAACAGTCCACTAAGCCATGCCCTGCCTCCAGCCTTCTCCTGCCAATCATTACCACCAGGTTGCCAGTGGTTTTCCTGAAATCACACATACCATCATGCCACTATCTTGCTTTAATATTCTGATAGTCCTCAAATCTCTAAGGATAAAATCGAAATGCCTTAAGACAGCTTATAAAGTTGTTCTTGATCAGCCCTTCTTGCTTTTCCTAGCCTCATCTCTCAGCACTAAGACCCACCCCAGTTCTAGCCCTGTCTACCTGTTCCTCCCACCTCTGGGATATTGTGGAAATACGATTTCTCTCCTCCTGCTCCAACTCACTGCTCTTCACCCTTCAGGAGTGTCAGTCCAGCTACCAGTTCCTCCAGTAAATCTCTTCTGCCCCTCCCACAGTGCTTT